TCAACAAAGATTAACTTCAAGCTAGCACCAAACCAAAGGGGAGACTGAAGAGTCCAATCAATGGTTTGGTCTAGGCTTTCATTTGTAATAGGTTCTTTTGAGTCAATATGCATGTTTACTAGTTTTTGTGTAGTTTACAGTCATGTGATGAGTTTACGGCCGTAAACCCAAGGCCGGCCCAAGTCCACTATATATAGATGCTAGCTTGGTCATTTGATGGTTGTTGATGCCACAGAGTTTACAGTAGATATTCACAAGTTGTACAAGACGTCCTTTTATTAATAGAAGCATGTGCAAGTTTGTTCTGATTTCTGTTTCTATTTCTTTCTTGTTGTTATTCATTGTTTTGGTTGTTTGATCACTGGTAAGATCCGTTTCAAAACCTTACAACATTATATGCTAAAACTCTTTCCATTCCATATTAAGCATCTTTGTTAATTAATTAAATAAATAAAATGTAGTAAAAGTCTAAACTCTAAACAAAACTTATTTTATTAATTAATTTTTTCTTATAAAATTTTGATTTATTATTATTATTTTTAATTATCAATATTTTTTTTTTCTTAGCCATCGTTTCCATGTAACTTAATGTGTAATAATAACAAAAAATGTAACTATCCCTATACTCTACATTAAATAACATTTTGTATCTGGGTAACTACATATGTAAAAAAAAAAAAAATAGAAATTACATCTGTAACCGTCTAAAACAAATTTATAAAAATAGTCCATACGTAATATTAAAATTACAAAATTAGTGCCTATGTCCCTATACTCTACATTAAATAACATTTTGTATTATTTTAATCATAAAAAACCATCACCACTATTTATTATACATATATAATTGAATTAAAAATATTTTGTATTTTCCTCTAATTGTATTTTTTTTTTCTTTTTGCTTTTTTTAGTATTGAAATCATAATATAACATTTTTCAAGTATTGTGTTTATTAGTCAAGCATGAAAACGAGTTGGGTAACATAAAATAGTAGAAAGTAGCAGATGTCATAATCAGCCTAAATATACATCTAGATAAGTTTAATATAGACAGTGCTTCGACAATTCTTCTATGTTAACCATCACAATTAACCTATCACTTGAACTGTCTTTGCATTTAGTTGTACAAATATTTATCAATGTTTTATAATGAATACTAAATTTATTCAACGCACTATATGTATGGAGGATCTTAAACATTAACTATTTTTTACCTTTGTAACCTCTAAACCAATAGTTGTAAGTTGAAATGGTGAAATCAAGTTTTTTTCAGAGATGAGAAGTAGATGCACGAAAAAAAATGGAGGCATAAAGGAGAAATCGAAAATACCAGGTGAAATTGTAGATGCAGGAAAACTCATAAGCCGTTTTGCTTGATTGAGAAGATGAAGTCGATAGATGAATGAGAAATTACGTTTCCTCTTATTTGTTGAATAGCTGAAGAAATAGGGCAACGTAGAAGCATCCTTTTCATACCTTAGTGCAATTAGACCTAGGGCTTGAAAACCTGAGGAGTCTTAGTAGATGGAGTAGGGTGGAGGGGAGGTGGACCAGTGAGCCTGAGGATTCGATACTGATGTAACGATGGTGATAGATAACTTTTCGTTCTTATGTGATGAGTATGAGAGTGATTAATAGACAAGTGTCTAGTACCCGATGTCGTAGCCTGAGGAGTTGCAGCACCAGTACGATGGAGGAGTCTTAGTTGCCGAACGACGCTGTAATCGAGAGTGAAGCAACTGGGTTGTAAGGTATCCGATCAAAAAAGCCCTAGTTTTACCTATAACAATCATGGTGTCTTCCTTCTTTTAAAGCCACTCTCGCTGTCTTCTTCCTTCCCTTAAGCCACCATCTCGAACCTGAGAGAGAGAGAGATAGATAGATAGAGAGAGAGAGAGAGAGAGAGAGATGGAGAGAGATCTTTGAAAAAAGCCCTAGTCTTGATTTTGTGCTTTGGGACTCATAGACGCGCTTCTCCCTTCTCCTTTCATCAAATCGGTCCCGCACCAGAGGTGCTTCCCCTTTCTCGATTGATTGCCATCATCGAGCCACCATGGCTTCTTGCGTTCCCATCTTCCTTGCTCGATAGATAAACCACAACCACCGGACCAAAACTCCCACTACCTTCATCATTCTAATTCCCCTTTTTCGATTTATCTATAGGGAATAAGAAATAAACGATAATCAAGATTTGCATTCTTAATATTGAGACTTGAGAGTATAATACTGAATTAGGGCTTTTTTCTGACAATTTCAACATCGAGTGGGAGATATGGTGGTTCCAGTGGGTAGAAGTAAATGAGCGTTGATCGATGTCAACGAACGGGGAAGAATCGAAGGCGGCGGTTGGAGTGCAAGGGAAAGAATCAAGTAACACTCGATGTAGGGAGGCGGAGGAAGGCCGAAGAAGATTTTTGTGGTCAAAGAACACACCCAGAGCTAAAGAGGGGAAACAAGGAAGGAAGCGGGTTTTCTAATTTTTTTTTATTTCCTTTTTCCCACTGCTAGTTCCTGAAGAGTGCATTTGTAGAATTATAAAGCGACATTTCTAGACGACACACCTTTAACATAAGCACCTTTCGTGGGTTTTTTTTTTTTTTTTTTTTTTTTTTTTTTTTTTTTTGTGAGACACTAATTCTAGGGCACGCAAGAATGCACGTCCAAAATTCTTTAAATTTCTAAAGATCTGACATTATTTTTAGGGCACACATTTTTGCGTATCATTAATCAGTGCATGTCGTAAAAAGCATATCATTAAAGGTCTGTTAGTGTGAGGTTACAAAGGTAAAAATAGCTAATACATGTGATCCTTCGTACATAAAGTTAAAAATAAAAATATTATCAATCCTTAGGCAGTGTACATTTCAAACGGTTTCTTTTTAAACCAAAAGAAAAAAATTGAATTGGTTTGTTGAGAATCCATTAGGTTAAACCGAACCTCCGTAACAGGTTTTAATAAATATATGAAATCGGTTTTTTTCCCAATTTTCTACTATAATCGAACCAAAGCTAAACTGGTTTTTTTAACCAACAAAACCAATTCTTTTAATACAAATTCATTTAAAAAAAACTAAAAAACCTAAACACTTGTAATTGAAACCAGTCTAGACAAAATAGTTTTTTTAAAAAATGATTTCATCCTCATAATACCAGGATTCTATTTCATCATTTCTTACTATGTTTATGCTCTTAGCTTAATAAAGATTCTATTTTAGGGGATCCAATATGGTGTACAAGAAAATGAATAAGAAGCAAGAACGTGACCTAGGGTTTTGTAATCGATTGTTTTTTTTGGTGATCGATGCTTAGGGTACATGTGAGAAAGGGGATGGGGTTATCTGTTCATAACCCACTCTAATAAGTTAAAGTTGGTTTGTTTTGATAAAACAAATAGGCCTAAAACGAAAAAGAAAAAAAAAACAAAATATAAGATTTTTTATGGAACAAACTCAATTTATCTGTTGGTAACCGGATCGGATGCTGAAATAATATATATATATATATATATATATATATATATATATATATATATATATATATATATATATATATATATATATATATATATATATATATATGGTGATCTTTTGGAAAGAAAAAAAAATTAGGTCTAAAAAAAATTTGTAAGGTTTTTTATGAAAAAATTTAAAATGTATTTGTGTAATTTATGATGGTGTTTATATTGATTTTTGAACTACAAAAATAATTTTGAAAAAAATACTTATTGACTTTGAATTAGTTTTTTTGAAAAAAGTTTTGGATTAGTTATTATGGTGGAAAAACAAATAAATTTAAAAATGTTTCACTTAAGATCTTCTTTTTGTAGCTATTACAATTAAAAAAAGCTAAATAAGATTTCAAAAAGTCAAACTTTTACATAATTTTCATAAAAAAAAACTAATAAAAAACTATTTTAAAAAGTAATTTTGAGTTTACCAAAAAAAAAATTTAACTTATTGATTTAAAAAAAAAAAAAAAACAATAAATATATATTTTGAAAAACAATCCCAAATATCCCTGTAAATCTAATTTAAATATTAAAAAAAAAAAAAAAAAAAAAAAAAAACAAAGCCATCGACCGGCCCCTTTCCCAACACAGTGAAGGTCATCTCCATGCCCTAGCACAATCGCCGGTGATTTCATTTCCGATTTTATCAGCTTAGAGTGACTTCATGTTACAAGTTTGAGGGTCTCTTTTGTCAATTATAATTAGTATAAGGATTACATAGTAAAATAACATAACACTCATGTGAGTTCGTTACGTAGTGGTGATTACATGTGTGCTCCTCCATGATATGATTCATATATATGTATAGCCTCTGATGGCAATATGATTTATGAAACCTAAATATGAAAACCCTCTTCTCCTCTGTTCTCTTTTGATTCATCAGTTAGCTAATCGATTCACAGGACTATTCTCTATTTAGTCCCAAGGGTTGATTGCAACTCACCATTGGCTGATTATCTAATCAGATCGCATAACTTCAGTGATATCCGTTCCGATTTCAGTTTTACTAGTTCCGAATTCAACAGCTTAGAGTGATTTCATTCCGATTTCAACATACTGGAGTGAACACGTTCGAAAAACGATCAGAAAAAACCAACAAATCAAGGCAAGTCTACTCGCTTTTCATCGTTTTCGGATTTACTGGATAAACTTCTGTCGGCCATTCTCCTACCAAATCAAGCCAACATTGTTTTGGGTTCGATTCAATTACAGAAACGAACGCAATGTGACAAACAATCACATTGTTTTGGGTTCGATTCTTATTATAATATTCAGTGGAATACATATGATTAATAAATCGACTCAAACCACAAACAATCACACTCGTAAATATTAAAGATGGCAAATCGACTTCACTAGTCTTTTCCTTTCGTTTTTCCTCCTCCTGTCTTGATTTTCCACTTTCTGCACCTCTTGTGTTAGATATGTATTAAATTAAGAAAGAAAATCTATTTGGTTTTGCAGCCTTAGACAAAGAGTCATCAAGAGAAGACATGAAAGGTAAAGGTAAAAGTAAAGGCAAGAGTCGGGATAGAATCAGCACTCTTCCTCAAGACACAATTGAAAAAATTCTTACTCATATGCCAATCCGAGATGCAGTGAGGACAAGCATCCTGTCAAGAAAATGGAGGTATTATTGGACAAGCATGCCGAAACTTGTATTTGATGTCAATGTGAATCGGGATGCTATGGTTACATCATCTATGGTTGTATTATCTGGTGACGAAGAAGTCGATATATATAAGTTTGTCAATGCCATCTTCCACATTTTGTTGCTACGCAGGGCTCCAATATTGGAATTCAGTTTCCTTCTTGTTATAGAAACTGAAATCTATAGTGAGATTGATCAGATAATACTTCACCTTTCAAAGGACAATAATATCAAGAAGTTCGTCTTCAAGATTTTGGGAATTGACAACTACTTGATACCCCGTTCCTTCTTTTCATTGCAAGGATTAGAGCACCTAGATCTCTCGTATTGTAGTTTTCAGTTTCCATTAATGAATAAGGGATTTAGTAGGTTGAAGAGCTTACGCTTTTGTGAGGTTGATATCACTCACACGATGCTTTTTCGATTCCTTACCAATTGCCCCCTCCTTGAGGAATTTACTTGGGTAAGTAATTGAAGTGCATCAATGCGTATAACTACTTATTATGAATTAAGTTTTTTCAATTAAATAACATACCTTATTATTTAAATGCAGGCTAGAGACTATAGAAACACAGTGCTTACCGAGTGTGATTTGGTTAAGCTTTTTAAGTGTTTACCTTTAGTTCAGGTTCTGAAAATCCACAAGTTGTATATCAAGGTAAAACCCAACCTATTGTTTTGTCCCATGCAAAAAAAAAAAAAAAATCGTGTTTTAAACTTTTAATCTTAGTTTTAGTATTTGGTTAAAGGACTTGGGTGCAGGTAGTTATAGTATGCCACATAAGCTCCCCATTTCACTACCCCACTTGAGAATACTTGTTCTTGGTGTGTGTTTCCTTGAGCTTTCGCCTGTTCTATGTGTGATCAACAGCTCTCCAAATGTGGAGAAGATCAAAGTGGAGGTAAATATCAACAACTACATACTATCACACATGGTTTTAAACGATATTTATGATTCTACTTACAATTTTAACATGTTTTTCTGATTAGATGTGTTGGGACCATTATCGGCAGTGTAGTCTACAAACTTTCAATAACTTGCCTGATATTCAAGAAGACTACTCGGGCCTCAATTTGGATCATCTTAAAGAGCTGGAGATAACAAACTTCCATAACCATGGTCTTGAGATGGAGTTTGTGAAGCTCATCATGGGTAAGTCACCTGTGCTAAAGAAAGCACGAATAAAGCTTAATTCTCATGTTTCTGTTGATGAAGAAGTAAAGATGCTTCGAGGTTTGCTGCACATGCCATTACCACGTGCATCACCAGCTGTGAGCTTCACCATTGAACGCCGTAAATATTGATTAACTGTAGATGCAAAAAAAGCTTAAGTGATGTTAGGTTAATTGTGTTGGTTAAAATAGGATTGTCAAAGCAGAGTTCTTCTGAGTTACTGTCCAAGTGTCTATTAAACTTATTTATATGTTTTTTTTAGGTTGATTATGAGAAGTGAGAACTGCTACCTTTTACTCTTTTATATTCTCCAACTCATCTATCCATGTATTTTGATGATTTACCATTAAACACAAGACTTGTACAATGTAAATGTTATATTATGTTTTCAATTCTAAAAGATGCAAAAAAGAAAAATTCAATTAGAGGAAAACACAAAATACTTTTAATACTTTGCTGCTTTACCATTAAATACAAGACTTGTAATATGTAAATGTTATATGATGTTTTCAATTCTAAAAAATGCAAAAAAGAAAAATACAATTAGAGGAAAACACAAAATATTTTTAATATTTTGATGCTTTACCATTAAACACGAGACTTGTACGATGTAAATGTTATATGATGTTTTCAATTCTAAAAAATGCAAAAAAGAAAAATACAATTAGAAGAAAACACAAAATACTTTTAACCATGCTTAATATTTTCTTCTAGCGATCCCTATAGATAGGCTTGGCCAGCATATATCTCCCATTGAGTATCGTAGTATCCTCAAATATCAACTCACGATTCTTATATTTTCCAGCTGACGATATATGTCTGGTGTGTCGCAAGACATGTTTGGACTCTTTTAGAAAGCATCAAGTTCACTATAAAGAACTCCTCGGGTTCAAATACAGGCACGATATGGTTAAGGATGTTTTGTTTGATATATTTAAGCGTGTCGGAGTTTCCGCTAAGAAAAAGACACTTGTTAATTTCTTGACTGACCCGACAGAAGGAATGTCAACCCACAGACCGACTAACATTTTGATTTTTGGATGGGTCGGTGGGAGAAACGTATGTGTGGATGTTACAGGGATATCCCTTTTCGTGGACTTAAGGGCTGTGAGTTTCATGACGGGACAAACTGCTTTAAAAGTGTAGAACATGTGTTCATACCATTTGCATTTGATACATTTGGTTTCCTCGTGCCGGATGCAGTAGAACTTCTTAATAGAGTACAACGGATCACACATAGTAATGTTATATCTCCTAGATCTTCGGATGTAGTCTTTAAATAAATTAGTTTTACCATACAAAAAGGCTTGGCGTTGCAGTTTGTTGTCCGTTTGTTATCTCATTCATTTTACGGTGATAGTTAAATGAACAATGAATGTTATAACTTCCATGCAATATTATTTATATATGTATAATAAATATTGGCGATGGCCTGTGTGTTGCGGTGATCTTAAATTTTTTGTGAATAAACTAAAACACCATATTATTTAATGCAAAGTATAATGACATAAGGACCATTTTTGTAATTTTAATATTACATATGGACTATTTTTTTACACTATTACACATGGACAATTTCTATAGTTTTATTATTACATAGAGACAACCTTTTTATAATTTTTACATTTTTTGTTATTATTATATAAGGCTACTTTCTACATATTTACCCCTTCTAATTGCTGTATTCTTTCATGAGTTTTTATGTGAATAAGACGTACATACATATAATTACATTCTTATTTAATTTTGTCTTAGTTTTGCAAAATATAAAAGACACATAATTACATTCTTATTTAATTTTGTCTTAGTTTTGCAAAATATAAAAGACACAGAGAGCCACAAACTTTTTTATTATTTTATTATTTTATAAGGACTATTTTTGCAATGTTTTCTCAAGTTAATTATACAGGAACCATTTCCATAATTATTGTATCCTCTTATGTATTATGTAACATATCATTTTGTGGTAAATTTAAATAAAATTATATAGATGTATCATTTTATATTTTTTTTTCATTTTGTTAAATTTCATATAATACTTAAATATAATAATAAATGTATCTCCAATTCATTAATACAACTTTTCTAATAATTTCTAAATTTTTAAACTGAATCTAATTTATTATTATTATTATTATTATTATTATTATTATTATTATTAATCAAAGCTAATTACAATTACAATTCTTAATCCAAAAATAAACACACACTAACTAATACACACACAGCCATACCGTGGCGGCAGGCGGTGGCGCTTGGCAGCAGCCACCACCTCACGGTGGTGGCGGTGAGGTTTTCCGGCCGAAAATCATACTTCCAACATAACGCCACCATCACCCGTCTAAAACACAGTAAACATACATACACATCCACCCATATACGGCGACTAAGGGGGTGGCAGAACGAAAATGGCGGCGACAACCACCATGGTTGGCTGCCATGGTGGTTCGCCTCACCTCCAGCCTACATGCTTGACAAGTCTCTAGCAGCACACACGAACAAATGTGACACGCGATCACAACTCCCATCCATAGTCTAGGCGGAAAACGGAGCTGGAACAAGAAAAACGGCGACCGAGGGCCACCCAATAGTAACAACGTTCCCGACGTCGTGTTCACAGAAAAGAACGGATGTGAGATGATGTGAGTGGCGGTTGGGTCTTACCGACAACTTCTCATTCATTCACGCCCAGTAAAATGACGAACACAGCTCCAATAGTCGATCTTCACCGGTTATCCAGGTTGTTCATGGCGTCTCTGGCAGGGCTGTTATGGCACCCATTGGCGAGGCAGCAGCGACGGTCTTGAAGCTTTTCACGATGGCGGCTGTAGATGCTACACATGATGGTGGCGGCTGGTGGTTTAGTAACTTAGGGTTAGGGTTCTTTGTCTGCACCCATTTGACGAGAGGATGAAGGGATCGGATAAACCCCGTAAATCCAAACTAAACTACAATGCCGGAAATACACTTTTGGTCCCTACTCCCCATATAATTTTCAGCATCAATCCAAAATTTAACTTTTAACCCTAACCCCATAAATTCCTTTCATAATAGATCCTTATATTACCAATAAGCCCCCTAAGCCTTCAAATATTTTCAATTTAATTCGTTTATTACCAAACGGACGCTGGCTTCTGAAATCCTTTTCAATTAAGTCCATGACTTGCACTCTTTAACCCGTGACTTCTAAAATTCTAACAATTAACCCTCGAGACCAACACCTTGCTATAATATTACAGATTTTGGGGCTTCTATCCGTTTATTTATTTATTTAATAAACAGGGTGTTACAACTCTCCCTCACTTAAATTAGATTTCGTCCTCGAAATCATTCTTTACCATTCCTTGAATGCCTAACCACTCTAGTAACATGGTCACCATCCTGAGTACACCTTAGGCTTCCCAGGGTAGCCGTGACCAATCTTCTTAAAGCCCTTAAATCCTCAGGTGAACGAATACCTCGCAAAAAGATTACATGTACTCTTTCCGAAATTTGCTGTCTCTAGATGATATGAATCCCTAACAGACCACTCATACTAATTCATTATAGATGAACCTCGCGGTGGGTGACTTAGCATTACTTGGCAATCTATTACGCTTACCATACCTAAGATCCTCAATTGCCATTACCGTTCGAGACCCAAAACTGCTGAAACATTGATCTGCCTGAAAACACTAAACTGCCTGAAACACTGACTGCCTGAAAGACTGAGCTGCCTGAAACACTGAACTGCCTGAACATTGTACTGCTTGAATCATTGTACTGCCTGAAACATTGTACTGCCTGAAACACTGAACTGTCTAAACACTGAAGTGCCTGAAACACTTAGCTGCCTGAAACAGCATGCTGCTACATGGCTGCTTTCCAACATCTATCGATACCTTCCTGGTCTCAATTCATTTCTCAGTCGTCTGAAATGCTGAGTTCCAGCCTGACTGCAGAGCCAAAGGACTCCCTATTTAGTTGCCTCGCATGACTTCTGAACAAAATCCTTCTCTGGAGCTAGTTGCCACTAGTTATCATGTCACTGAGGCTCTAACAACCTCCTGATCCAACCGATCGGGTCCATATGTCGAATCTTGATGTCACCAAACTCAAGGCTAAAAGTGATTGCTACATGACCATTGGTAGCCTTATGTCATAAACGACCTTAAGCAGTCCACTGTTTCCTTGCTCTCATAGTTGTAGTGGTGCTTCTATAGTCTTATTACCGGCTTAACCAGATCTAATCCATCCAGATAATTCTGAAATCCAATCCATGGATTTCCATATCCTTACTGCTACACCCGAACTAGTGAGTACTACTATTCCTTCCGCATCCTAACAACGTGTTCATGCTATCTACCAACCAAGTGAATGCTATGGCTTCACCCGTAGACTCACAACACTCTATCACTATCTGGTTACTAGTGAATGCTACGGCTACACCCACAGACTTACCACACTCTCTCACACTATCTGACTGCTAGTGAATGCTACAGCTACACCCGCAGACTTACAATAGACACTATCTGACTGCTAGTGAATGCTACGGCTACAACCGCAAACTTACAACACTTCTCACAATATCTCATTCGTTGATTGCTAAACTGAACACATCCGACATCGAGCATATACGCAGACTAACATCCAAAACTGAACCCATGTCCTGTCTGGGATCCCCAAACTGATTCCCTAAGGTTTGCTAGCAACATTCCGAGAACGCGATCTCCTTACTGGCAAGTTTTTCCAAACTTCCATCTCACACTATTCTCAAACCATACAACTGCCTAGGCTGTCTTCCTTCCTGAAAAGGATGCGAAACTTATCTTAGTATCTAAATTGCTCCTGCTTTTGAATCCTTGGGCGATTCTCCCCCACTTTGATTCTGCTAATGCCTTACAGCACACAAAGCTAGAAGAATTCTCAATCCTTTTTACCCTTCTATGCCCAATCTGTTGAAAACCACACTTACCGTTGCTAATGATTCAATACTAGCCAATCCAAAAGATCACACTACCTCCAAGAACCCGAATAAATTTTCGGTAATAACCCGCTAGACCCCCGGAAACTCCGAATCTCAATTGGAGACCTCGGAATCTTCCACTGCATCACGACCTCTATCTTGGCCAAATTGACTAGAATACCCTTT